TTGCTTCCGAAAGGTCTTGAAAATCCTATGGAGCAGTTTTACTCTGCACACACGGGGTCGCCATCAGTTGGAATCCACTGGTTGGCAACTAACAATAGCAACATACTCCGACAGTTTTTAAGGAATGAAGAAACTATGCTCACAGCTGTGTGAGTGTGTGTGTGTGTGTGTGTGTGTCTAACAAAGAGTAGGGTAGGTGGTCGAGAGGCGGGGTGACCATATGTTGTCCAAATCATAACATGTTTGAGACTGAAAGGGGCACTGTTACTAATGTCAGGATAACAGGCATAACCCAGGACTGCCCCAGGGCCTTCATCTCACCAAAACGTCTACGGACCAAAAGTTTGAGAACCATTGGCTTAGATGCATTAAATACTTTGGAAATCTTTGGGCACTACTTCCCTCCTACCTCCTTTCTTCCCCCACTCTGCATTTTTTCCCTAAATGATATCCATAGTTTCAGTTATCAGAACATTCAAAAAGGTAAAGAAGGAGTTAAGCTGGGAGCTGTAAATCCAACATTTCAAAAATGTATTTATAAAAAAAATTGTATTCAGTCATAAAGAGAAATGAAGTCCTGATACAGGCTACGACGTGGGAGAACCTTGAGACCATTGTGCGGAGCGAAATAAGTCAGGCCTGACACACATTAGGTACTCAATGAATACTTATTAAATGAACGTACCCATTGCCTTTGAGTCAATTCTGACTCATAGTGACCCCATAGGACAGAGTAGAACTGATGCATAGGGTTTCCAAGGCTGTAATCTTTACGAAAGCAGACTGTTATATCTTTCTCCCTCGGAGCAGCTGGTGGGTTCAAACCACTGACCTCTCAGTTACCAGCTGGTTGCTCAACCACTGTGCCGCCAGGGCTCCTTGTATTAAATGAAAGAAGTAGAATATTAATAGTTTGCAATGTTAGTGGCAGGAAAAGAGCAAGAGCTCCTTCAAGTAGGAAAATCACAGGGAAAATGTTTTGCGTTGATTTAAAAAATATATAGGGTACCCCGGAAAGCATGGCACCTGGATTGTCTATCAGCCCAGAACTAAATTTCTGAGGCCAAATCTTCAGACAGGGATTGGACTGGACTGTGGGACATAAAGTGATACTCGTGAAAAGTGTGCCTCTTAGTCAAGTAGATACAAGAGACCAGAGGGGTTGCTTCTGTCCAGACGTGAGAGGGGAAGGCAGAGAGGGTTAGGAGCTGGTTGAATGGACATGGTCGTGGGGAATCAGGGGCTGAGAGGAGGAGTGTGCTGTTGCAGAATGGGGTGAGCCATTAGGGACACATAACAAAGAATGTATAAAATTTTGTATGGGAGACTAACTTGAAATGTAAACTTCATTTAACTACAACAATAAAAAAAATACAGAAGAAAAAATATAGGATATCAGTATCTCTGAAGAGGTAATTCAGGATATGTAGGATTTTGGGAATTCTAGAGACTTCTGCGAAGACAAACGCCCGCAATAACGTAATTAGTAAGAAAGAAGGAGGTAAGGTGTGGTGGGGAAGCACCAGGGTGGGAGCTAGAAGCAATGAACTCCGGTTCTGTTTTTCCACCCTCACTTCCTGCCTGGGTGGCCTTGGGAAAATCACTTTGTCTCCGTCTGCTTCACTTTCCTCATCTGTAAAATGAAGAGGTGGGACTGGACCAGATAAACTCAGAGATCTCTTCCTACTTTCAAGGTTTGTGATTTTACAAAATACTGCAAAACGCGAGTAACTTTAAAAATAAATTCTTAAAACTGCTTTTGTGTTGCTACTTAAATTTCCCCTATTAAAAGAAAATAAAAGTGCTTTTTAAACTTTTATGAGACTAAAAGACGTAGCGTTTTCTGTGTTGGAGCTATAAGCGAAATTGTTTTATTTGTGTAATTATTACACAGTTTTCATGAAAACACAGAAGTTATCTCTGTAACAAGGTGATGATAAAATGATAAATTCTGCAGTAATTTTAGCACTTTGAACATGAGATTTTATCCTAAAAAATAAAAAAACCAAATCTGTTGCCGTCGAGTCAATTCTGACTCATAGCGACCTGATAGAACCGAGTAGAACTGCCCCATAGAGTTTCCAAGGAGCAGCTGGTGGATTTGAACTGCCGACATTTTGGTTAGCAGCCAGCTCTTAACCACTGTGCCACCAGGGCTTTGAACATGTGATTTTACTCTATAGAAACTACTAATTTCTATTCTTTCACACATAATTTTTATAGCATTTTCTTATGCAAAATAGTCTGTGCAGGAGCTCGATGCTTTTCCTGGGTGAATATTGTTAACATTGCTGACATCTGTTTAAATGCTCTGATTGTCTGGCAACACAGTGACCTGGAAATTGCCTGTGGCCAGAGTCAACTCTGAGCTACTTCAGCCCAGATCAACATGACAGTGTTTTTAGGTCACTTCGGAATGTTCCTGGATGGTGCAAATGCTTTGCTCTCAGCTACCAACCAAAAGGTTGGCAGTTCAAACCCACCCAAAGGTGCTGCAGAAGAAAGGCCTGGTGATCTGCTTCCATAAAGGTTTTAGCCAAGAAAACCCTACGAGGCAGTTCTACTCTGTAACACAGGGGGTCGCCATGAGTCAGAATCGACTTGACGGCAACGGGTTTCGTTTTTTCAGGTCACTTGGGACTAATCCCTCAAGCAACTGATCAGATTTACCATGCGGTATTTGATTGATTATTTAACTGGTGGTTGTTGGCCCCCACAACAGTTCCCACTCTGCAGACCCTTTCTGAGACCTCTGCCAAGCAGCAGACCATGAAGAGACCTCAGATATTAGGAGCTGCGTGACTTTCCCCACCTGAAGGAGAATTTTCTGAGAAAGGAACCATCTGTCACATAGACATGAAAGCAGGCCTGTTTGGACTCTTTCTCTGGGTGGTCCATAAAAAGGAAGGGAACCCACTGCCAGGCAGGGCCGGCCTGCTGCGAAGCGTCTCAGATGTCAGGTGTGTGCCCAGGCACATTTCCCAACAGGGACCTGGATCTAAGCCTTAGATTGCAATACAGTGTTAATTATATTATGCAATTAACTGAACTAAAAGCCACAAATAACCATTTATTCACATAGAGTCATTTAGACTAAATGTATCTCAAATGCTTATAATGACTGAATAATGCTTCATTTGAACAGAGTGGTAAGAACATTTTGTTCCCTTTGATCCGCCTGTAGGACTCGCTTCTAGGTGTCTGTGGTCAAATTCCCTCAGGAGAACTTTTCTAAAACGTGGGTTATATCTATCAGAATTTACCAAATTAGAATGAAAATGTAAAAAAAAAAAAAAAAAAGAAATATTTATTTACCAATTCATTTACAAATAATAATGCAACCCTTACATATTAACACGAATAACATTTTTATGAAAAATAACTTTTCTGTAGTAAAAAAATGTAGTGAGAAGAGTGATGTCATTTGGCATCTATGCAAATCTCTTTGATATTTGGCTTAATAGAAGACAGGTCATGTAGCCTCTGGGAAGTTCCACTGTGTATTTGTGAGAAAATGGGAGTAAAAAGGCAAATAATATCTTAGTATTATTAGGAAAATAATTTTGACCTTGTGAACCCCCCTGGAAGTGCCTTAGGGACTGCCAGGAGCCCACTGGCCATACTTTGAGAACCGCTGCTTTAGAAGAAATGGAATTAGGACATGAACAGATGACCACTCGCTGCAATATCCACTTTAACATGTTGCTGTAGAGTCAATTCCAACTCATGGTGATCCCATGTGTTACAGAGGCGAACTGTTCCATAGGGTTTTTCTTGGCTGTAATCCTTATGGAAGCAGATCTCCAGACCTTTCTGCTGTGGCATCTTTGGATGGGTTTGAACGACCTACCTTTGTGTTAGAAGTCAAGGGCAAACTGTTTGTGCCACTCAGGGACATTTACCATGATCCACATTTTTTAGCTGAAGCTGCTCTCTCTCACGTTTAATTAACATATTACTTGCTATTCCACATTTTTGCTGTATATGGCATGGCAGCCCTGCAGCCTAGTTATTAGTTCACATATCTTCCCAAAGAGATTGCAAACTCCAAGAAGGAGGGACTAAGGTGATCCTTACTCCACTGTGTATCATGTCTTGCACATAGTAGGTATGTATGAGCAACAAAAATAAGAACAGCTGCCGTTTATTAAATATTGCTATGTGCCAGGCACCCTACTAGGGCATTACTTACTAAGTATTACATTGAGCCACACAAAATTGCTGTGATTGGAATGTTTTTGATCTACAAAAATTTCAGCCTGGTGTGACTCAACCTAAAGCCTAATAGAAACAGTAGGTGTTAAACGAAACCAGCTGACTTTGATCAGTGCCGGCTACTGCCCTCACCACTGAGCTCCTGACAGTGGCTATGGTGGCTGAGTTAGCCAGGTTTGGGGATTCCAGGTCAGCACACAGAGGCACTCACATACTGGACCATTCAGACCTTACGACTTTTGCCCAGAGGTTTCTTGACAACTGGCTTCTTTTTCTTTTCCCTGGCTTTCTTTTTGAGTTCACATAATGTTCATTCCTTTCTTCTACTCAAGGAAGGGAAACCTTTGACTCCACTACTTGGTTGAGGAATGCCCGGGTGGCACAAATGGTTAAGTGCTCGACTACTAACTGAAAACCTGGCAGTTTGAACCCACCCAGAGGCACCTCAGAAGACAGGCCTGGTGATCTGTTTCAGAAAGGTCACAGCCTTGAAAACCCTGTGGAGCACAATTCTACTCTGCACATACGGGGTCATCATGAGTATTAACAATACTATTAACAATCACAACAAGAAACCCATCCCAAAAGGAAAGCTCATGGGCTGAGAAGACACCCTGGAAGATATCTACTATATAATTCAGAACTGTGAAGAGTGAAAAAGGAATCATAGGAGAATTATAAAAGACTACTACTTGGTTGGAATAGAATTTTATTGTGTTAGCAGAATGCAGTTAAGGACACTTACAGATACTTTTAAGAGTGAACCTGTCTCTTGTCTTTGGTTCCAGGTCCACAATGGATGCCCTGAGACTGGCAAACTCTGCTTTTGCAGTTGACCTGTTCAAACAGCTGTGTGAAAAGGAGCCGATGGGCAATGTTCTCTTCTCTCCAATCTGTCTCTCTACCTCCCTGTCACTCGCTCACGTAGGTGCCAAAGGTGACACAGCAAATGAGATTGGACAGGTAAGGCCCAGACCTTTGTCTGCTCTCAGTGGGAATACAGTTATTAAAACCCACAGGCAGTGTCTAGGGAAAAGTT